ACAGTGGAGTCAGCTGTCTTAACCGCGGCTTGTGTACTGCAAACACATACCAGCTTCATCACTGTGTCTGTCACGTGACTCTGTTCCCCTTTTGGGCTCTGTCTTTACATTTATTTTGAAAGATGAAGCTCGCGATTATGGTAAGGGGCGTTACATTTCCGACGAGTGCTTGCGGTGTTCGGCCAATCACAATGCACTGGGTCAGCTGGCCAATCAGAGCAGACTGCGCTTGTTGGAAGGAGGGACTTTGTAGAAAACGAAGCGTTTGAGAGAGGCGGGGCATAGAGGACCTACAATAATGTACAGTATTTGAAAAATAATGTGTTTTTTGAACATTAAAGCATGTCAACATATTCTGTTACACCAAATACACAAAATAATGATCTTTAAAAAAGCATCATATGACCCCTTTAATGAGTTGTTTTCTTCATTTTCTAATTAAATGCAAACATTTATTAAACTGTTGTCTTTTATCATATCTCATTTTTAAAAGCAATGACGCACTTTCTTGAGTGCTTTATTAAATAAAGCAAAATCAGAAACATAGGCTATAATAACCTATAATATTTTGGTTTGACTGTATTTTTTCCTCCATCAGTTAATGAATGCGGTGACGCTATTTGTGGATGGCGACAGAAAAGGCCTTGAGAATAATATCAGTCTGTTTGTCATCAAACTCCTGCTTTGTAAAGGTACGTAATTCTTCCTCCTCTTCTTCCTCATTATTGTTATTATTAGGCTACTTCTATAATGATGTTTTGCCTTCATATTTACAGGTGCCTATAAATCCAGAATGCCCAAATGCAAAGCGCAACTTTTGGAAAGTGGATGAAAGTAAAATCACCCCAAAGATACTGCGTCTACACTTCAGTGGTTTGCGCGACGTCTTCCCTGACTTTTATGAAAACATGGAAATGTACTCTGTGAAGAATGAAACGGAAAACAGGGCGACCTGCAAACGCCCCGAGGCAGAAAAGAAGTTTAGCAGCCCGTTTTCAATAGAGTCCCTTCTGCAGCGGGAAAGCAGCGCCCTCCTGAGGAACAGACCTGCACTTTGTGCAACTAGGAACCTGGAAAACGCGTTTGTGGCCCTCGCAAACGGAGATCATGGTTTGGCTTGCAAGAGGAAAGCATGGGACTGGCCCCATCAGACTTCAGTGGATCATATTCACACTTTTATTTTCCTACTCACAGTTTGGGCCAAATGAATGATGGCTGCAGTCCCTCCAGTGGATCCTCCAAGAGGATGTGCTCAGTCTCTGAACTGTCCTATTGTACAGCACCTGAGAGCATTAGGCAATTCACTCCAAATGCTGTGACCTGGGCCTACATGTAAACTACACTTAACATACACTTACTTTTCTTAGTGTACATATCTTACTGATTTATTCTGCATTGTTAAAAATATCTGCCAACTTTTTTCCAAATAAAACATCAGTTTGTTTTTAAACTTGAAGGGGTCATATGATGCGATTTCAATTTTTCCTTTCTCTTTGGAGTGTTACAAGCTCTTGGTGCATAAAGAAGATCTGTAAAGTTGCAAAGACTAAAGTCTCAAATCCAAAGAGATATTCTTTATAAAAGTTAAGAGTCAACCACGCCTACCTAAAACGGCTCGTTCTAACACGCCCCAACATATCTACGTCACGATGTGGGAAGATTTGCATAATGCCACCCAAATGTTCAGCATAAACACATTTCATTACACCAAATACACAAAATAATGTTATTTTTTAGCAGCATCAAATGACCCCTTTAAGTGTTTGGTGGTGTGGGCGAGCAGATGCAGATTTTTCCACTGTAAAGAACCTTTTGTGGAATGAAAAGTTTCCATGGATGGTAAAGGTTCTTTGTGGAACCAATGATGCCAATAAAGGACCTTTATTTTTATGGTTCAGGATAAGATTAAAATCCACTTAATTATACATATTCCATTCAGACACAAAGACGAGATGATTCAAATAAAATTTATTGACCTCCAGCTTCCAGCAGTCAATATGCATGCAGATACAGGCTTCAGTCAAAATAATTTTTTCTGTCAAAGTTTCCCAACCTTTTCTTACAAAACTGCGTGCACTTTAAATAATCAGTTCTGCAGCGTACAAACCACAAAAATACCAGTTTTACATTATCAAATACTGCACATAGAAAACATTTACAAAGCACAAGTATAAAATTACAGCTTCCCCATACAGCTCTCTTTTCCATTCTGTTATTCCGAAGCAGCGCACTGTCAGCTCAAATCATTTTCTAAAAGTTTTGGGGGCTACTTTTGCTCTGATAAATCTTTGATCGTGCTCTCTCAAAGTGCAAGACTTAAACTGAAGTGGGTTACATCATTTTCAAAGTAGCTACATGTCTTGTGAAAGTTGAAAACCTGTCTGCAAAGGTGAGCATGTCTCAACAATGTCTTGTGCTGTTCACAATGTCATGAATAATATGAATGGCTGATTTATGGTGACAACAAAAGAGCTGCTAACAGCTTAAGTACAATAAATTCAAGGTTGTAATCATATAATTTGAATAAAATAAAAGTACATTTTATTTTTTTTTAATTACATGTCTTGGTTATGTGTGATCACAAAAAATAGAGCCTTATTAGAAGACACGGCATGGCTCTTTGAGAAAATAAAGACAAACATGCAATGCTTACTTTCTCCAGACCATTTTACAAATCTCAATAATGTAAATGACTAAAAACAGGCATGCACTGAATGTTACATTTAACCTATAGGCACAACTAATATCTGATATCTGTCCTAGTTTTTCAGCAAAACTGAATGCTCAAATCAATTGTGATAGCAAACAGATTGAATTAGATACTAGGGATGTTGTACTCATGTAAGCCTTTAAACATCAACACATACCGGGTAAAGATGTTATTCTGTCACTCAGACACTGTAAAACAAATATGTTTTATAATACAATAACATGAAATATTTCATACGTACATTCAAGTTAGAGATACTTCAGTATCATTAATAATATCAAAGCAAAACACTCACGGCTTTCAGTAACATGTCTAAGCCTTATAATAATCTCTCAAGTAAGGCAATAAACAAGCCACCGCCTTTCATCCAACAAACCACTCTGTAAGATACTTCATGGGAACTGTTTTGGATCAATTTAACATTACATCACTAGTTCACCAATGGATCCTCTGCAGTGAATGGGTGCCGTCAGAATGAGAGTCCAAACAGCTGATAAAAACATCCCAATAATCCACACCACTCCAGTCCATCAATTAACATCTTGTGAAGCTGAAAGTTGCATGTTTGTAGGAAACAAATCCATCATTATGATGTTTTTAACTTCAAACCATTACTAAAATATGAGCCCTCTTTTTCTTGTCTGAATCAGGAGAGAAATATGCAAAAGAACTAATGGACTGGAGTGGATTACTTGTGGATTACTGCGATGTTTTTATCAGCTGTTTGGACTCTCATTCTGACGGCACCCATTCACTGCAGAGGATCCATTGGTGAACAAGTGATGTAATGCTACATTTCTCCAAGAAACAAAGTCATCTACATCTTGGATGGCCGGATTTTGGGTGAACTATTCCTGTAACTGGCCCAGAAAGATGTAAAGGGATTACATTCCTATTTGAAATTAAAGCAATCTGTCAACATTTATATAATTTATATACACCATACAGTACCTGACAGAGCGAAATCTCATAAAATAAATGTTAAAATTTACACCTCATTCTCAGTTTTACAATCTACTGTCCATTTCTGAATGCAAATAAACAAGTAAGCATCAATACCAGGTTGATCACATCCAACTGTTTCCGCTATGATTGTTGGCCCACACAGACAACACATTGTTGTCAGGTTTATTCAGCTTACATCATAACATCACATTGATATTGATATCTGTATTTCAGTGTATTAAGATCATTCCCCAGTCAGGCTGGTGTCACTTACACTCACACATAAACTGCACATGCCATAAAACTGCCAAGAAAGACTCTTCAGACTTCACCATGTATGAACTGAAAAGCATGAAGAGGTCTCGCATATAAAAGCATGACGTATAGTTCAACACCGAGCATTTAAACAAACCAGATGCCAGCCAGCCAGATGGTATCTTATTCAGAAGTTACCACATCATACTCAAAGATTTGTATTTACAGATTATCAACACATCACAGAAGCATTTGTTAGCTGTATCTGATTACTGTCAGAACAAAACAGATCTGATCATTCTCATTCCATGTATATTCCATTCTCAAACCACAGAAATCTGGAAGCGGCAAATCTAGATTTTTTTTTTTTTTTGTTAATGTTGCATTTGGTTTAGCTATGGACTGCAACAATCTACATCCATCCACTACACCTGAAAAAATAGAGCAGTACAGTACAAATATTCATGCATTCAGACTCTTTTCATTTTGCAAAAATGCAAGACCAGTAAGATTTTGTAACTACTTCATTGTACAGTAAAGGGACACGTATATTATCCCAAATTCCCAAGTACGTAAAATCACATAGAAAAAATATCATTATCTAATAATCATTTCATATGTGTTTACCAAGGACAAACATTCAGCTGCAAATACAATTTGTTTTCAGTACAGTAATACAATTCCGTATTAAGTTAGAATTAAGAAGTCATTTTTTGTTCCTAATTTAATGTAGACATTTGTCTGTTACTGAAAAAGACAAAGGTGCAACACAATCAAACTTGTGCAAATACAAAAGAAGCAAGACATGTATGTGAAAGATAGCAGAAACTCTTTTTTGTATGTTTAAAGGTAAAACCTCCGAGCTTGAACAACAGCGATGGGCTGAAAAGTAAAATATTGTAAATATGTTAAATCTGGCATGGGTAAAATACATATTTTGCAGTTTCGGATGAAAGTAAGAAAGTGTAAAGTCCCATTTTTTGGTCCAACTTATACTTTTGGCCTTACAGAAACAATTCAAATGCAACTATATTTAGTGTGCACAACGTGTCTTCTGATTCAGCCGTTTTTGTAATCATGTCAAAAATAAAACTTGAAATTGTCCTTAAAGATTCTTTGTGAAGCAAAACATCTAAATGAACAGAGAAAAGATGAATAAAGACACAATCAACGACTAAACGTTTCTCAGGATTTAAAGATAAATCTCTATATGAACATGACCATTCATTACGAAAATTAAGTGTTTTATAGTATCTACATCTTACCAAATGCATTGAAACGTGTGCATGTACTGTAAAGTGCATTGATGGAATGGCCTAGGATAAAAACAAGAGATTTTGAAAGTATGGAATGTGAGGCACACTTTCTTATGAACATCTTTCATCTATAAATCGGATTAAACGGTTTGCTGACGGTCTCATAATCCGCCTTTAAAAGCAGATCCATCTACAATAGAGTTTGTGTGCTTCATCAAAGAGAGTTTAAACAGATTGAATTATACAAACGTCTTTAATGATTTGGCAAATGATCCATATGGGAATTTAGAAATGAATAATGTTCTGGTTCTTACTGATAGTGTCACAAATGCCATCACCTCTGCAGAAGATGTGACTGATTTGACATGAATAAACTGGTACACAGATACTATGATATGTATATTGATATATTTAGAGAAGCTATGAAAACAAATCTAGGAAGCTGACAAGAGTATTTCGTTTTTTACCTACAGTGCTGCTTTCCTTCCACAAGTCTCCATAACACCGAAGATCGACTGAAGAAACCGTCTAGAGCCACTCAGCTTCAGAGACGAAGCTAAAGAAGACTGCTGATTGGACAGGAATAGTCACAATGGTTCGAAAGACCAAAAAAAAAAGTGTCCAGGAGTTTACAGAATACCATTTGTTTTGGGCTTCAAGATCCTGTCGAGAGAGCGCGACCCCATCACCAGTCCTCATATTGTTGCGTGTGTGTGTGTTTTTTTGTTCAGCATGACCTCCTGAGAGTAACAGGAAATGGGAAAGGCCTTTAACAGTTCCAAATGCTGGTAGAAAGAAACCCAAAACTACTTGAGTCGGTAATGTCTAATGCGGCTCCAACTTCCCAGAAAGCTTCGCTACTTGCTACAAGAAAAGTTTTCTTGCTTGCCAGCGGACACTGTTCGGCATATCCCACAATGCAGCTTTGTATGAGGGTTGCTGGTTTAACAGGAGGGAGGGTTCGATTCCCTCGACTACGTCTGCAGCTCGGTGCAGATGGTGTTGTTCAGACAAAAAGTGAGATTGAAACATTAGCAAAATAAATAACCTACCGTCTATAAGTCTACGTCATTTTAAAGGCAAGCTTAAAATAGCACTTTACATATTTTGCTCAACAAGGGTTGCGAGTTAACGTGCAGAATGCAGTCGATAAATACATAAACACAAATAGCGATCTATATATTTATTTATTCAGCTCTCCGAAAAGGAAAAAAAGAATACGCTACTTTATGCGACAGGAATCGTGTGCATTTCTAATAAATAACCTGACATGTGGAGTAAAGCCCTGCCCTTTAAAAGTTTAATTGTGAATGTAGGTACGATCACATTTACCGAAATTTTACAGGCGTATTCCAGTCATTTCTATAGGAATCCATTTCGCGCAAGGAGCGAAAAAGTCGCAATGCAGGTTTCATTCGTCTTCAAGTTGGTCATGCGAAATTGCCACGCCAAAAGTTGCTTGGTATGAAAGTGACTTAATACATCGCTACACTATCGACAACTGAAAATGGATTCCTTTGCCAACAAAATTTCGCTAACGTGACCACACCTTATGAGTTTTTCTAACACGTCTTTGTTTTTTGCATCTCATCTAAGTCACTGACTCTGCTACATATCCATACTCTATAATATAACACTACAGATAATAAGAATTGCTTTGGTTTTTAAAAAATAAAACTTTGTTCGGGTTTGGCATAGAGAAATGACTGACCCTCGAGGGTCTGGAAACTACTAGAAACTACCCATTCTGCTTCCTGTGTGACGTGACGTCAACACGAATGCTACATTGTCAGGAATATTTCTCGGCGGGTTTATTAAATGCCCCTATTGGTTGACCTGCAGACAATGGATCTGTATGTAACCAGCCGTGACTGCTTTTTCACAACCCTACGACTGTATGTTGCTGGTTACACCCATATCCATCTGCAAGGGTGTGTGTGTATGTGTGTGTTATGTGTGTCACGCCTGATTTGTATCCAAACTCTTAATATCTGCCCTGGGCGAGTTGGCTGTATCTATCAGGGTGTGTGTTCATGCGTTTGGGGTCAGTATCGGGGTATATTGAACAAAGATACACACGTAGAGATAGAGAAGACGGGCATATTTAGAAGGGGACGTGGATGTTTCTAGGTGCAAGAGGGGCTGGTGGCGCTCTCGAGCGAGGACTGGGAGAGTCGGCGCGTCAGGGGGCCGATGCTGGGGTCCGCCAGAGAGGAGGTGGGGAAGAGCTTGTACCAGCCGCCCACCATCGACGACAGATCCAGATCATCCAGGAGGATCTGAGCCATTCCCATGAAACACTTGCTGTCCATGCGGCCGTAATCGCCCCACACGATCACCTGGAGAGGTTAAAGGTTACAAATGAAGGATCAGTATGTGGAGAGGTTTAATATAGAGTGGCCCTAAATATACTTTAGCATTTGCACTTGGTTTGATTTGAGTTTCTTATGTAATGCAATGACATTCATACATTTTTAAGTGTGTCTTCATTTTTGGACACATTTAAAAAATGTCACAATGTAGTTTTTGTCTTAATTTTGACCAGTACATATTGTGTTTTATAATTTAGAATTAAAATTTTCTGCCATGAAACAGTAAATAAACAAGGCAATTTAAAAGTTTGGGATCAGTAAGATTTTTTGTTTTTAAAGAAATTATACTTTCAGCAAGGACCCCTTTCAGCAAAAGGTGTAGTAAATACACATTATAATGTTACAAAACATTTCTTTCAAATAAATGCTGTTGCTTTCGAATTTCTTATCATCAAAGAATCTTGAAAAATCTTGAAAACAGTTTCCACAATCATATTAAGCATCACAATTGTTTTCAACACTGATAGCAATAAGAAATGTTTCTTAAGCAGCAAATTATCATATTCGAATGATTTCTGAAGAATCATGTGACACTGAAGACTGGAGTAATGATGCTGAAAATTCAGCTTTGATCACAGCAATAAATTATATTTAAAAATATATTCAAAAAGAAAAGAGTTGTTTTAAATTCTAATAATATTTCACTATATTACTGTTTCTACAGCATGTTTAATCAAATAAATGCAGCCTTGGTCTGCATAAAATACTATAAAAAAATTAAAATATAAAAATAATTTAAGATAAATATTGTAACCATATATATGTATATTTATTACTGCATTAATTAATATGAAATAATAATAATAAATATAAATAGCAAGGTTTTAAATTACACTACTATTTGTGTTAATTATTCTGATATAGGCTTTAATGTTATTTTTAAGTGTTTGATCATATTCAATATTTTAAGATTATATTTTACACTACAAAGGCTGTACAAAATATGAATTGTGTAAAACAGTAGACAGTTATATCAAAACACTCCTGTGTTTCAAATAAGACTGTGCAAGACTGTCAAAAACGTTTTATGGCCTTAAATACTTTTTTGGGACCGCTGTGTATTTAGATGCTAGTATGCTGTTTTCTAAAGAATGTGTTTGTGAAGGACAGCTGGAGTGATTTTGACTGAATACCTGCAGCACTTTCCCCTGCGGGCTCTCGTCAAACATCAGGGATTGCTGGAAGGTTGGATCCAGGGTTTTCTTCACCACTTTGGTTTTCTTCTTAGCGAGACACATTCCATTCTCCAGGACATAAACCTTTACATATGTTGCTGATAGAGAAGAAAACACCCAATGATGAAACAGTGTTCTGTGTTCTTACCTAACATGGTAATGTGAATAAAATGATCCAACTCAATCATGTTTAACGGTGGGTTACCTTGAATGTTCTTTGAGCCTGGTTTAGGGGTCAGACCTCGGGCCTGCGTGATCTCGACCTCTAACTGACCCCCTCTATCCACCACACCGATGTAAACATCACCTAAACAGAGGAAACCATACTCTTATGAAAGCCTTCTTGCAATGGGATCAATCAACAGCAGATGGAGACAAAGAACAAGACACAACCTCCACTCCTGAGAGTTTCTGCCTTCATGTTTGATCATAAAAGAAGGAATTAGAAACTATTATTATGTCTAACAAGTCAGTAACTCCAGTTCAGTCACCATGAGCTCTTGAAAAGGTTGACATTTATCAGACCTGGTGATTATGCAGATAAACTGATTGACAATCAGCTGAGTGCCACGGAGTGATACAGAATAGCACAGTACAATATTATTTCTACAATTTATATTATGCATATACTATGCTCCAAAATACAGGTAAAACTCCCATAAAAATCAATTTGGACAAATCCTTCATATTAATATAGTATATTGTGCCCTATTGTCATGGATTATTTAATGTACTACATTATACCCCACATAGCAATGTGCTCAATTTGATCGTCTATTTCCAAATTGACGAACAAAGCAATTTTTTTATGTTTGGCAGTCAGTAAAACAAAAATGCAAAATAACCCTTTTTTATTTACAGGATTGTAATATAATTATGAACTTAATGGTTTCTGAACTGAAATGTTTTCAGAACTTAATCTCTTAATCGTACTTGCAATTCAGGAAAAATGCATTATACTTGAATTATTTATTATTATTTAGCTTAACTTTAAAGCACTTCTTCTGACCCACATAAGTAGAACTTATGAATGTGTACTCTTGAATGCATTCATGACAAACTAAAATATACTTTAATGTCATTTCTATTGAAACTTGTATCTCATGTATTTTGAATATATTACTTATTGCACATTTGTAATGATAAAGTAGCAATTTAGTATTTAAAATACATGAATGTATTTATTTAAATATAAAGATGTACATAAACATTAACTTATTACATGTAATAATGAGTAATAATTTTCATATGAATCCAGAATAAAAAATATTATTTTTTTATGAACCTGATGGTAATTGTTGTATTTGAGTGTATTCTGGCCAGTATGCAGGCGTCTTACCCATTGGCGGTGTGGCTAATGTCTGCCGCCCCACTATCTGAGCGGGACCAAGACCGTCCAGGAAGTCACTGAACTGGTTCTCAGGGCCGAGGCGAGTGGTGGGGAAGATGAAGCTGAAATACACCCGGTGTGATGTGTGAAATGTGTGATCAATCAAACTCAACAATACAAGGCAGGTTTGTTTCTAACCAGTACAACATATAGTGCTACTTCATCATTTACTGTGACAGTACCTCACATTACACACAGATGAGTGAGTCTAATGAAACATGTCAAGATCTGAGCATATATAGGGCTGGTACTAGCTATGATTTTGACTTGATTTTTAACTGATTAATCTGTGGATTATTTATTTGATTAAATTAATTTAATTTGATGAAAAAAATCCAATATCTGTGTGTGTGTGTATATATATATATATATATAGTAGTGCTGTCAAAATTAGCGCATTAACACATGTGATGAATTTTTTCAGTTTAACGGCGTTAAAAATATTTAACGCAGGGGCGGAGCTAGGATTGCTGCTGTCTCTTTTTCTTGACAAGAAGTTCGTTTATTTAGACACAGAACTTCTTTATGATCACATCAAAAGGGAGAGTTTTCAGATGCGCACTCCAACTTTACCTCAGTGTCAGGCGCGAGTCAAACGAGCGCGGAAAACATACAGGTGACGAGGAGCTTCAGTAGAACAACAGTGAACTGTGCTCAGATGAGATGCTGTCAGGCCATATGTCAGTAAAAACCAATTTTCCTGTCCTGTCAGCCGGTATACTGTGCTCGTAGCACGTGCTCTTCAATTGCATGTACAAATGCAGCGGCGCGCGCTGTAGCCTGTATCATTTCATATCAAAGCACAAAAGAAACTACGAGCTTGCAGTGTCGTAGTTATGCTGTCAGTACAAATGTAATAATTTTATTCCTTTTTTAATTATTACTCATTATTTACACATTTTATCAATTAGTTGTTGCAGTTCTAATTGTACTGCACCATATTTCAATTGTGACATTATTTTCATGGCAATTAAACACATTTCCTGCTGTAATGTGAAACAAATATGTTATCATATCATATCATTAAAATTGTAAAATACTGTTGTACTGCCTTTAATTTATGATCTAAGTAAAACTAAACAGCTGTGGTCCTAAAAATAGGTTTCTGCTTATTTTATGCAAAATATTACATCTTTTTTCTTTTGATTTTGAAATGTGGACATGTTTTGTGAGATCTAAGTGCATTCGGATGCAGTGATTAAATGTGTGAGGTGGTGGGTCACACTCACGTCCCATCAGAGCTGTTGCTGTTGGTGCTGCCATCTGTCGAGTCCTTACTGCCCTGCCGTGTGACACGGTTCCTCATCTCCACTGCGATACCCGTCTCTGTGCTCCGCCGGATGGTGCTGCGCAGCTTCTTTGTTCCACCATCTACACAAAAACACACACATATGCAACCCTGCTCACTTTCCATGAATAGGGCACCAAACTCCTGGGCGGAAACTCCTTAAAAATATATACACTCACTGGCCAGGTTAGTAGGTACAACTGTTCAACTGCAAATATCTAATCAGCCAATCACATGGCAGCAACTCAATGCATTTAGGCATGCACATGGTCAAGACATTCTGCTGAAGTTCTATACTCAAATGGCCTCAACAGTCACCAGATCTCAGTCCAATAGAGCACCTTTGGGATGTGGTGGAATGAGAGATTTGCATCATGGATGTGCAGCCAACAAATCTCAGCAACTGCGTGATGCTGTCATATCAATATGGAAGAGTGTTTCCAGTAGGGTGACCATACATGCCATTTTCCCAGGACGCGTCCTGGCCAGGATTTCTATATTGCCTAAAATATCTAGGTTTTGGCTTTGTTTGCGTGTGCAGACCGATCGGTGTATGACATCAAAAT